TTTTTTTGGTTGCAGCCGTCATTATTGTTTGGCGGCCCAGGCTGGATTCGAACCCACCAGCTCAGGTGTATGTGGCTGGTGCCTTAGCCACTTAAGCCACAGGTGCCAAGCCAAATACGCCGTAATTTTTTTTTTTTTTTGGCTGGGGCTGGGTTTGAACCCGCCACCTCCGGCATATGGGGCCAGTGCCCTACTCCTTTGAGCCACAGGGTGCCCTCTGCCACACTTTGGAAGAAGAAGAGTTGTCTTGGGCCACGCATTAAATTCACAAACACTAAAGAAAGCTGATCCATAAAAAAAAAGTCTGCCTACTTTTTGTGATATCAGACATGACAGATAAGCAAAAATGTTCTCCTAAGGTCAGTTTGTGGCTCCACAGGCTGCAAGCTGAACATGCCTAGAGTTTTCTGTGGGTCAGGAAGGCAATGCTTTGATTCAGAAGTGTGGATTTCGAAGCTGGGCACCGTGGCTCATGCCTGTAATCCCAGCACTTGGGAGGCTGAGGCGGGTGGATTGCCTGAGCTCACAAGTTCAGAGACCAACCTGAGCAAGAGCAAGACCTCATCTCTAAAAAATAGCCAGGCTCTGTGGCCAGCCCTGTAGTCCCAGCTACCTGGGAGGCTGAGGCAAGAGAATCACTTGAATCCAAGAGTTTGAGGTTGCTGTGAGCTAAGATACTACCAAGGGTGACCAAGTGAGACTCTGTCTCAACAAAACAAAACAAAGCAACCCCCCCCCAAAACCAAAAGTGTGGATTTCAAAAATGGTAGACTCGGGTCACCATTGGCTCACACCTGTAATCCTAGCACTCTGGGAAATTGAGGTGGGTGGATAGCTTGAGTTTATGAGTTCAGACCAGCCAGAGCAAGAATGAGACCCTGTCTCTAAAAAATATCCAGGTATCGGTTCAGCGCCCGTAGCTCAAGTGGCTAAGGTGCCAGCCACATATACCAGAGCTGGTGGGTTTGAATCCAACCCAGGCCCACCAAACAATGTCAACTACAACCAAAAAATAGCCAGGTGTTGTGGCAGGTGCCTGTAGTCCCAGCTACTTAGGAGGCTGAGGCAAGAGAATCACTTAAGCCTAGGAGTTGGAGGTTGCTGTGAGCTGTGATGCCACAGCACTCTACCCAGGGCGACAGCACGAGGCTCTGTCTCAAAAAAAAAAAAGAAAAGAAAGGAAAAAATAGCTGGGTGTTGTGCTGGGCGCCAACTTGGGAGGCTGAGGAGAGAGAATCACTTGAGCCCGAGAGTTTGGGTTGCTGTGAGCTATGACACTATGGCTCTGTACTGAGGGCAGGAAAGTGAGACTGTCTCTAAAACAACCCCCGCCCCCTCAAGTGGTAGACTTGAACCCTCATATATTGCAGGTGAGGTGTAAAATGGTGCAGCTACTATGGGAAACAGTTTGGCAGTTCCTCAAAAAAGTTAGATGTAGAATTATTGCATGACCCAGCAATTCTACATACCCAAGACATTTGGAAACATATGTTGATATAAAAACTTATATACAAATGCTCATAGCAACATTATTCATAATAGCCAAGAAGTAGAAACAACCCAAATGCCCATCAGTTGATGAGTAGATAAACAAAATATGGTATATCCATACAGAGGGATATTGTATAGTCATAAAAATGAATGACATTCTGATGCTTGCTATAATGTGGATGAACCTTAAACATGTGCTAGGAGAAAGAAGCCAGACATAAAGGCCACATATTATATGATTCTGTGCATGTGAAATGCACACAACAGGCAAATACATAGATACAGAAGGAAGACTAGTGGAAGCCAGCAGATAGGAGGGGAGAGTTGGAGGTACTGGGTTTTTTAGGGGGTGATGGAATTAGTAGCAATGGTTGCACAATATCATGAATACACTAAAAATTATTGAATTATGCCCTTTCAGTGGTTAAAATGGTGAATTTTATGGTATGTGAGATTTTTATCTCAATAAAAAAAAAATTTTTTTTCTGAGACAGAGTCTCATTCTGTTGCCCAGGCTAGACTGCCATGACCTCAGCCTTGCTCACAGCAACCTCAAACACCTGGGTTCAAGTGATTCTCCTGACTCAGCCTCCCAAGTAGGTGGGAGTACAGGTGCTACCACACCACTTGGCTAATTTTTCTATTGTTAGTAGAGATGGGGTTTCGCCCTTGCTAGGCTGGTCTTGAACTTCTGAGCTCAAGCAAGCCTCCTACCTCAGTTTCCCAGAACGTTAGAAATATAGGCGTGAGCTACAATGCTTAGCTAAAAAACTTTTTTTTAAAAAAACTTTTTAAAACGGTGTCCTATATGGCTTATTTTTTTTGAGACAAAACCTCAAGCTGGGTAGAGTACTGTGGCAGCTCACAGCAACCTCCAATTCC